CAAAGAGAGCCACTACATAATATTAAAGTGATAAATCCAACAAGAGGATCTAACCCTTGTAAACATATATACACCCAACACAGGAGCACCTAAATATATAAATAACATTTTGGTGAACCTTAAGGGAGAGATCAGCAGCAACACAGTCATAGTAGGGGATTTTAACACTCCCAATGTCATCAATGGATAGATCTTCCAGACAAAAAGAAATCAACAATGAAACAGCAACCTTAAATGACACTATATAGGGTGGAGCTAATTGACATTAACAGAACATTTCATTCTGAAGCAACAGAAGATAAATTATTCTCAAGTACACATGGAACACTCAAAAATAGACCACAGCTTAGGACACAAAATAAGTCTTAACAAATTCAAGAAGATTGACAACTTCTCTGTCCACAATGGTATGAAACTATAAATCAACTACAATAAAAAAAACCTGAAAACATTCAAACATACGGAGGATAAGTAGCATATTAAATAACCAGAGGCCTGGTGCACTAAATTTGTGCATGGGGCAGGAAGGGAGGGCAGTCCCCTCAGCCCAGCCTGCCCCCTCTCCAATCTGGGACCCTTGGACATCCCTCTCACAATCCTGGACTGCCTGCCTGCCTGGTTGCCCCTAATTGGCCCCTGCTGGCCTGATCGGACCTCACTGCCTCTGGTGTGCTAGCCTGATCGCCCCTAACTGCCCCCCCCCCCTTGCTGTCCTGGTCACCCCTAACTGCCTCTTGCTGCTGGCCAGGTTGCCCTCAACTGCCTCCTCCCTGCTTGCCTGGTCACTCCTAACTGCCCCCCCACACCCCTACTGGCCTGGTCGCCCCCAACAGTCCCCCTTGCCAGCCTGGTCGCCCCTCATGGCACCCCGTTGGCCTGGTTGCTCCATGCAGCCTGCTCTTCAGTCTTTTGGTCATCCCTCACTAAGCCCCCTGCCAGCCTGGTCAGAGGCAGCCCATCTTATGAGTGCATGAGGATTAATTTGCATATTACCTCTTTATTATATAGGATGATGGGAGAACAATGAGATCAAGAAAGAAATAAAAAATTACCTGAAGCTCCTTGGCCTGCACAGCTGCTTCACCACTCTGCTGCTTTCCTGCATGAGTGCTGCCCGGCTGCCCGGCCTGGGAAACACGGTCCACACAAAGCTGTGTGATATCCTGGGCATGCCATCTGGCACCAGTGAGAATAAGCTGAAGAAGGCATACAGAAAATTAGCCAAGGAATATCACCCTGATAAGAATCCAAATGCTGGTGATAAATTCAAAGAAATAAGTTTTGTGTATGAAGTACTATCAAATCCTGGGAAACGAGAGTTATATGACTGATATGGAGAACAAGGCAAGGCAGAGGCAGGGAAGGCAGAGGCAGAGGCAGTGGCATGAATAATATCTTCTCTCACATTTTCAGTGGGGTGCTGTTTAGCTTCGTGGGCAATCCGAGTAGAAGTCAAAATGGCAGAATAAGGGAAGATAGGATGCATCCACTCAAAGCGTCTTTAGAAGATCTGTATAATGGCAACACCATCAAACTACAGCTCAGCAAGAATGTGCTATGCAGTGCATACAGTGGCCAAGATGGAAAGTCAGAGGCTGTTCAGAAGTGCAGTGCCTGTCAGGATGGCAGCGACCGCATTATGATCCAACAGCTGGCCCCGGAGATGGTGCAACAGGATGTAGTCTGTGTGCTCAGACTGCAATGGAGAAGGAGCGGTCATTAAGGAAAAGGACCACTGTAAAAAGTGTGAAGAGCAGAAGGTGATTAAAGAAGTCAAGATTCTCGAAGTCCACATGGACAAAGGCATGAAGCATGGCTAGAGGATCACATTCTCTAGGGAAGCAGACCAGGCCCTCAGAGTGGAGCCGGGAGACATCATTCTTTTGCTACAAGAGAAAGAACAGGAGGAGTTCCAGCAGGATGGCAACGATTTGCACATGACATACAAGATAGGCCTGTGGCGGCTTCTGCAGCTTCCAGTTCACATTCATGTACCTCGGTGTCCGCCAGATCGTGGCGAAGTACCCGCCCGGCAAAGTCATCCAGCGGGGGTGCATCTGGGTGATTTGAGGTGAAGGGATGCCACAGTATCCTAACCCCTTCAAAAAACGTGACCTGTGCATAAAGTTTGATGTGTGGTTTCCTGAAAACAACTGGGTTAGCCCCGACAAGCTTTCTGAACTAGAAGATCTCTGCCATCTGGACCAGAAATCTGAAACATCATCAGAGACACAGAGGCAGTGGAGCTTCAGGAACTCGACAGCACTGAGGGCTCAAGAGGTGGGCAGCGGCGCAAAGTCTACAATGACAGCTCTGATGAGAACAGCAGCTATCACGGCCCAGGCATGCAGAGTGAGCCGCACGGCGCAGTCGGATTTCCTTTGTGTGCCCAGCTGGTCTTCAGCGTCCTGGCCAGAGGGTTTATTGATCCAGATGAACTGATGGATATTTCCTAGTCTATGTGTAACTTTAAAGTCAGTATAGTATCTACAGTGTTTAATTTAGCTAACCACAAACCCCTCACCTTCCTCTGACTGGTCTGTACAGAGGAGAACACTCGAGGAGGCGAGACTGACACGCGAGTTCCCAGACCTGTCCTGGTCTGTGCTGGGTCCTATCAGTTTCGTGTGGATTTTTTGTTCCATGCTTGAAACTCGAAGCCCATGTTGTCAAGACATCATAAGCTGCTACAACTAGAATAAAGAATTCCAGAGCCCCCAAAAAAACAAAACAAAACAAAAAAATCAAATGGAAACAAATGAAAATGAACACACAACAACCCAAAAATCTATGGGACAGAGAGAAGACAGTCCTGAGAGAAATTTCACATCATTATAAGCCTATGTCAAGAAGCAAGAAAATTCCTATGTAATATCCTATATAATAAAAGCCTCACATGCAAATTGTTTCCTTGGGTGGTTCAACCTGGAGTTCCACTGGGAGACCAGGAATTCTACTGCTCACTATGAAGTGCACTGACCACTAGGAGGCGGCACAGAACATGGCGGGTGTCTGTGACACGGTGCTGGTAGCGGGCAGCAATGGAAGTGCTGCCTGCTACAGTGGGCTCCAATGAGAATGGTACTGTGGCAGGATGGTGGAGCAAGTGAGCAGGTGGCATCAGGCCAAAGCACGTGCAAGCAGGGGCCAATCATCCCCCGCCCCATCGCCCTATAGATGACCCGTGGTGGCAGCAGGGCATGGGGCCACCACCTGGCTCCTGGGCGCTGAGAGAGAAAGGGCAAATATAATAACAATATTAAAATATTTCTTCTAATTATTTTCCTTTCAGTGTGCATGAATCCATGCACCCGGCCACTAGTATCAAATAAACAATTTTACACAATGGAATACTATGTGGTCATAAAAAAGAAGAAAATCTTATTTTTGCAATAACATTAGTGGACCTGGCAGTTTTTATGCTAAGTGAAATTAGCCAGTCAGAGAAAGACAGATACCTTATGATCTGATCTTACTTATATGTGGAATCTACAATAGAAACAGAGGCATGGGTACACCAAAGAGACTGACAGTGATCAGAGGGGAGGAGGGACTAGATGGAAAAAGGTGAGGGGTTTAGCCAAAAAAACATATATACATAACACACAGACTCAGACAACAGTGTGGTGATAGCCAGAGGGAAAGAGGGGTGGAGGCGAGGTGGAGGTGGGCAAAGGGGGTAAGAATGGGGATGGAGAGAGACTTTGCCTGGGGCAATGGGCACACATGCAGTGTGCAGGTGGTACAGTTTGAGTTGTAAACTTGAAATCTGTATGGTTTTGCAAACCAGTGCCACCCCAATAAATTCAATTTAAAAAAAAAAAAAAAGAGAGAGAAAGATCTGATCCACTCATAGTTTTCCCTTTAACACATCAGTATCTTCCCTCTGACACTTCATTTTTGTTTGTGAAAATGGGAGACTCACATCTCTCCTGATTTCATATCTGTGGAGATAAAATAACTATATAGCACAGGGACCTGGGCTGGCTAGTAATGATCTTAGTGAGTAAATACATGATGTTTTCCATATTTGGTGTCTGTAGAAGTTCATTTGCTATGTAGTCAACAACAAATTTTAAACAGTGCAATCAACAAATTTGGAATGAGAAGAGTGTGGCTGGGACATGGAATTCCACTACATTTATTCTCTGACAGCTTTTGGTTAGGAAGAGTTCTTGGGACATGGTAAATGCTGAACAAAGAGTAACTGTTTTTGAGGACAGACAAAAGGTACTTGTTATTTTTCTGTAGAATTTAGCATAATGACTAATTCAATGCCTATTACTTAGCAAGTCCTAAAAAAATAATTGTAGATTTGAATTCCATGATGATAACAGATAAGTTATCAGAATACTATGGAAGCTATTTCCCTGGACTGTTCTCGGTTGTATATTATTTTTCTTCACAGTTCGTACATCTCCAAAATCACTGTAGGCTGCCCTTCTTGTTTCTCACTGACATCCTCACAGCTCTTTCCATCTGTCTTTTTTCAAAACATAAGCTCTCAAGTGAATGTCAATTAATATGTGTGGAAAGAATGATGAAATCAGAAAAACTTGTTAACACAATAGTAATAACTATTTCAGGCAAGAATGATCCATTGGTGCTAATACTATTAGATTGGGATTCTCATTTCTGCCTAGGATATAGAAAGTTACTATTGTCTTAATAAAGAGAAAAAGTTAGATATCTCCAAAATCCAAAAATTTTTTGAAACCAAAAGAGAGCTGAGGTTGCATGGCAAACGGCCTGCATTCCAATGAATGGCATATCTCTGAGAAGAAACAGGACTAAAAACTATTTAATCTTTGATAAAATATGAGTGGAAAATACTATTGTCATCAGAGCAGATAAGAGGAAACCAGCTACAATGTTACCAAATTCTTTAAATAAATGGGCGGACTATTTTATTACTTTAGAACAGGGCTTCCCAAACCTTTTTTGCCCATGCCCCACATAAGCATCTCTAAAATCCTGACCTCCTCGTCCCCACCCCCACATGACATATAATTCTTGTTATTCAAAAAGTGAAGTCCTATTCACGTGGACCAAGCCTAAAAGGCCATTAACTTGATCTAAACAAACTTCCAAAGAACATGGCATCCATGAAAGAGAAAAATAAAAGAAGGAAATGACAGTTGAAGTACTGAGGAAAAAAATCACTAAAAAACTATTAAAATAATAATAATGATATGAAGTGATATGAAAAAAATCGCAAATAAAGTTTCAATAGTATGAAGTGATATAAAAAAATCACAAATAAAGTTTCATGTGTATATGAGGCCCCTAGAACAATAAGAAATGCAAAAAATTCACTGTTAATAACACATTCTGGAATTGCCTCTCCCCCTTAAAAATTAAATTTTCCATGTTGGGAACCACTGGCTTAGAATGGCTTTGAGAACTTAGACACAAGTGGAGCTCACCCTAACTCATACATCCTTTCCCATGGGCCTCCAAAGGTGTTCCTGTGTAGGACTGGCCTCAGGGCTGAAGGCAGCCCACAGACCCCTCAGTGGCACTAGAGGCTGTTAGAGGAATGTGGCAAATTACCTCTCATTTCCCTAGATCCATGTCTGATATAAAACAAATCCTTAAACCACTGAGCGAGGGGCAGCAACCCCTCTCATACCTGGGCCCAGGAAAAGTCCTGCTTATGGGAAAGTGATAATGTAAAAGGTATCTGCTTCTGAGGGAGGGTAGGAAAACCTCCCGTCCACAGGACCCAGGGAGAAACATCCACTTGTGGGAGGAAAGAATTAAAAGACCCCTGCCTGTGAGGAAAGTAAAAAAAAAAAAAAGTCCTGGACCCAGTTTCTTGAACTGATACAAAGCAGAGGTCAGCTGTTAGTGGGAGATGGGTAGGAAACTCTTTCCTGCCCAAGTCGGATACAGATAGAAAAAGAACCATGCGGAGAGGGGAGCAAAGATGCTGAAGAGTCACTCCTCCGAGGCCAGGTTTCCCGGGACTGCCTAAGACTGAGGCATGAAGTGTATGCTTGATAATTAATCATAGGAAAGACGCTCTAATTTTGTGATCTCCTTTTTCTAATCACTTAATTTGCATTATAATATATGGCCACGTTGTGAGCCCAGATTAGGATTTTCAGAATTCATTGAACCAGCAGAAGTTGCAGCCAGGGTCTGTAATTACACTGATTCATCCTCAACCCTCTTATTATATTCCAGTCTAGCCTAGCCAGTTCCTGCTCTAACAAGCCCTCTAGATATGGAGCAGCACATCACAGATGTCTTTCCTTGTCACTCTAGGTTGAATTAATTTCTCCCTTTACTCTAGAAAATGACAATGCGCCAAAACCGGTTTGGCTCAGTGGATAGAGTTTCAGCCTGCGGACTGAGGGGTTCCAGGTTCGATTCGGGTCTAGGGCATGTACCTTGGTTGAGGGCACATCCCCAGTAGGAGGTGTGCAGGAGGCAGCTGATCCATGTTTCTCTCTCATTGATGTTTCTAACTATCTCTCTCCTTCCTCTCTGTAAAAAAAAATCAATAAAATATATTTTAAAAAGAAAGAAAATGACAATGCTCATCACGTCGTACTACAATAGAATGTCATTAATGCTGTAAAGCTGACGCTGATCCCCAACCTAGGATGCTATGGTATTTAAATACTGTCTCACCACAAAAATACTCAGAGTTCTTTCTTATTACTCTTGTGAAGGTCGTACCTGTTGAATTTATTTAGAGCCACACAAACACTGGAAATAATGACAGATATTTATATTATTGTTTTCATTTTGATGTCTTTGGGATCATTAAGTAAATAGGGCTTTCTTTTACATCTGGATTTCATTACTCTATCCAAACTGAAATGAAATTACTTTGTCCGAATAACTGATGTCACTGACTTACAATATAAGATTATAAACTTTTTATACTGGTTGGTTATTGATGGCCCTGTCCAGAAAACTGACTACGACAGCATGACAACAAGGTATATGGAAACAAGAAGTCTAACCAGATGGATTGGAACAAACAGACTTGGAATAAAAGCAAAGGCTGTTTGGCTCAGACTTCTAGTTTCCCTTTTCCAACCCCTGTTTCACATAGTTCTGTCTGGGTTTCTCAAGCTGATAATAGATTTCCCCTGAAATGAGTAATTAGTTTCCTGATCAAATGCATTGGGAAATGCTGCGCCGTGTGATTTACCACACAAATTAACTATTTAGAGGTGGTTTTTTTTTTAGAAGTCCTACTGAAAAGAATTCTATTTTACTGAAACCCTTATTTAAACATATCTCAGATCACTAACATTTTCTGATCAGTCTGGGAAATGTCTGACTTAGCTGATTTTCATAATGCTTCTCAGGCATTCCCTCTAGTTCATCAATTCTGTCGGTCAGCATTTGGTTGTGGAGTACTAAAGTAGAAAGAAATGCACTGGTGTGTGTTAAATGACTTACAGAGTTTGGGGAAGAAATGAAATAACAGATGTTAGGCAAAACCGACTCCTAAAGCTGTCCCACAGAACTGCATGTCGAAGTGCGCTGCTACTCCCGTCAAGATTAGGAATTCACTTGATACACCGAGGAGTGGCTGCTGCTCCCTGATTCCACACCATGCTGCCTTCCGTGATCCACACCAGCCAGACAAATGCCTCACCCTGGCCTTTCTCTTCACTTACCCCAATCTAAATGCATGTTTCATGCGTGTTCATCTGATTGGTGAAACATAAACATATGCAGAAGCTCAGCTTCAAGGGAATCTGGAAAATGTGGTTTTCAGCTTCCTGCCTCTGTAATAATAGTTGGTAATCGAGATAGATGTTGAAGGGTCAACCTACTGTATTCTATTCACCATGGCTCTTTTATGCCAGCACATATTACATTGCAAGGGAATGATATTTCTGATAAGGCAATGGAATGAAAAAAAATTAAATAGAACTAGTTTCATGAAGGCAGGGACAAATATACAGTGCCTACTTCGGTGCCTGTAATATATTAGGTGTTTTAAAAATGATGTTGTTTTAATGAATCAATCAACTTTATAGGATCACCTTGACCAACCTTGTAATCCTGTGGACTGAGGGGTTCCAGGTTCGATTCGGATGAAATTGGGCTCCAAAGAGGTAAAATAACTTGTTAATATTCTCTACTTTGGAAGAGAATATTAAGAGACTCAATGTCTCTTAAATTTGTGCTCATTTTATTGTTCCATGGTTCTGCTATTATAATTCACTGTATTAAATGAAATGATTTGCCTTTTTAAAAGGTTAGAAGGGGAAATGGGTGCATAATCAAAATAAATAAAATAAAACAGAATAGACAAATACTAATGAGTGGTTAAAATGTGTAGAATACTGTAGGTAACATAAATTAAAATGTAAAATGCTGCCCTTCTAAAGTATCAAAATGAAGTTCCAGTGTTGGACTTTCTACATTCTCTCAGACACAGGATTTCAGGGCAAATTGTACATGCAATTCCTATAGTCACGTTTACTTACTTGCATATCCCTAAACTTGAGCACTGCTGGTTTACACTAGTGGGAATAGGATAACCAGTGGGATATGACCTTACATTGCTTCCTTTCTCATTTTAATACTTTGTAAATATTTTGTCATTGTCAAAATTAGCAGTATTATCATTCTTAACACTATTCTCTATTGGTTCTGCCGGATTACATAGGGAGGGTCCTTAAATTTATCTGTATTCAATCTTATTGTAACATGAAGAGATTTCTTGGAAAGTCCAATTATATCCATTTAAGGAAACTTCTGTTAACACCTACCAGTATTAGTCTTCTTGGGCTACCATTAAAAAATACTATAGACTGGGTGACTTGAAAAACAGACATTTATTTCCCATGATTCTGGAGGCTGGGAAGTCCAAAATCAAGGTGTTGGCAAAGTAGCTTTAATCCCTGGGACTCTTTTCTTAGCTTGTAGATGACTTCCATCTTCCATGTGAGATCATGTAGAGCTCACATGATCTCTTCATTGTATGGTGTGTGTGATTGAGTGTATGTGTGTGTGTGTGTGTGTGTGTGTGTGAGAGAGAGAGAGAGAGAGAGAGAGAGAGAGAGAGAGAGAGAGAGAGAGAGAGAGAGAGAGATCTCCCTCTTCTTATAAGGGTAAATTCCATCATGAGGGTCTCACTATCATGACCTCATCTAACCTTAATTACCTCCCAAAGGTATGTCTCCAAAGGCCTATCTTTAAATTTCATAACATTGATGGTTAGAGCTTCCACATGTAAATGTAGGATAATTCAGCCCATAGCAGCAATAAAGGAAAACAAAATAAAGTAACATAATTTTCATTAGTGGGACAGCATAACAGTGCTGGCTTCAGAAAGGCTAAACAGGAGTACACTAGATAAGCTCTATGACTAAAATAGTACATGCAATGCTCTTTCTTAATGGTAGCTCTAAGGCTTATAATACCTATCTTTATCATAATCAGCCTTTATATAATATTTTTCTACTCAACATATAAGAACCTTATAACAGTATACTACCAAATACTTTCTTTGATTTTTATATTATTAAAAATATTTATCATAATTCATATGACAGTTTCTAAAGAAAAGAAACAAAAGTTATAGTTAAAGAACTAATAGTAGAGATAAAATGAAAACTTAAAAATTGCCTGATTATTCTGAGATAAGAGGAAAAAAAGAAAGAAAAAAACAAACAAACAAAAAACAGGCAGTCAAGTAGGAAACAAATAGAAAGTTTGTCAATTTAAATCTAACATAATGATCATTATGTTAATTATTAATGTTCTAAACATCTCAATTAAAGGAGACTGAGTCAGAGATTTTCAAATTTGATTAAAAAAGAGAAGCAATTGCATGCCATCTATAAGAACCAAATTTCAAATATAAAGATAGACTTAGAATAAATGTACAAGGATAAAAAATATATACCATGAAAACATTAATCAAGAGAAAGCTGGAGTGGCTATATTAATATCAGAATGAGAAATATTAATGGGAATAAATAGGAAAATATCATAATGAAAAATGAGTCTATTCATGAAGAGGACATAATGATTCACTTATGCATCTACTCCATCTATTAATCATGTTCCATGAGAATTTGTCAACAACCAGAAATGTGTTTCTCTATCTCTTTCTTAAACTGTGAAATGATTGACATATTTTTCAAACTCAGAAATGTTGATTGATTTATCTATATTGGTCAATTTCTCACACTCATTTTATATTTGAAGCATACTAGTAGATTTGCACTACTTTTGTAGATAAAACTTACACAGACAGGCCATTTACTATTTGCCAAGAAGTACATATTGTATTATCACTAGTACCTATCAGCTTTGTCATCTTGTGGGGTGGGGAGGTGCAAATCCATTATTTGAAAGTGATGAAAGGATACATCTTATCATCTGAATGTTTTCACGACTATGGAATACTATATTAGCCATAACAAAGATATGATCTTACATTGCTTAATTCATCAAACATAAGAATCTGGGAAGATGGGGTCTCACCAATTTTACAAACAAAGTAACTATAAAAACTGAATTGCCCAACATATTACTAACAAGTGGTGGATCCAGTTCTCACTACCTTGATTATCTAGCTTTGACTCTTGTATACCTTGTCCCATGGCAGGCTACTTCTTAAATATTTCCAACAAGAAAGCATTAAAATGTACAAAAACAAAAACAAAACCATTAATGTCCATTAGATGAAGTGTGGAAGAAGGAATGATGTCATGCTTCAAAGCCTGCCTACTCAAACCTATTTAAGAAGGCATAGAGATTGTTACTACTAACAAATACACCTAAGCTCATTTGCTGTACCCTGCATTAGAGACAAAGCAGAAAATGAGCTTCACATAGAAATTCCCATGATGTTCATCCCGGTACCATCTAAGAGCATTTGAGATAACCAGTGGAAATAAGCTTTGCACCTCAAACCTCACCTCCTATACAAACCCTTTTCTAAAACCTGTAGACTGGCCTATCCGCCCCTTCTCTGTGCTCCATAGTGGTCTCTCTCTCTCATCTCTATGCTTGTACTGACCGTATTGAATTATTTTCTTCCTTTCTTTCTGTCTTTCTTTCTCTCTTTATTTTTCTCTCTGAAAAAAAGTATGAGCTTCTTCCTTACAGTCAGACTACTTATTTTTTGGTGAACATAAAGAAGGCACATGATAAATATTTTTTAAATTAATGTGATATGAAATCTACATATGTATGTATCACTGTACTTCAACTGCTTAGTGATAAAAAAAAGTTATAGCTCCAAATGTTTGTTATGATTTAGCTTGTACAGTGAATTCATTTCTAAAATATCAGGTTTGTATTAGAAAGAATGAGTTATTTTGCAATTTAGCCTTTGTATGAAAGAATGAGCCTATTAACTATATAAAATATTATGAAATGATATGTATGACTAGATACAATATTAAATTAGTTTGCAGTTCAAGCAATCAGTGTTGTGCTGAAGAGTGCTTATATTTCTAAAAGAATCCTTGAGTATTTCCAGAATTTGCCTTGATTAAAGGCCAAAGGAAGTGATTAAGATAAGCAAAATGTTGTTTTATAAGTTTTCCTACCATTTTAAAGACAGACAAGGCTTTTAATGGGGTGCTGCATGGAGACCAAACATAGAAAACACATTTAGAGTTCCTTTCTATCCTGCTGAAAGGATAGAGGAGACTTACATTAGGTGGATTCCAGGCCAAGGGCAAGTACATGGGTTCCAGGTTCATTTCCTGGTCCTGGTCAGGGTACATGGGGGAAGCAACCAATTGATGGCTCTCTCTCACATTGATGTTTTTCTCCACTTCTTTTCTCTCTCTTCCATTCTGTCTAAAAATAAATGGATAAAATGTCCCTGTGTGAGGATTAACAACAAAAAAGAAAGAAATGTCTAAGGAATGATGGAGTTATGCCAAGAGGATACAGAGGCCAGTTAAAATGGGCTCTCATTGATCAAATTTGGGACAACGTGAACAACATAATAAAAAAAATGATTGTACTGGATGGGAACCCATTTAATTAAATAGAACTCTATGAGTCTATATTCATATAGACATACATGCATTCATAAACTGAAACTTTCATGAGGCATATTAAGATATATATAAGATGTCTCCTCCCAAAATATTTACTAATTACACAGGGGAAAAAAATATATAACTTTACAGTAAAGAAGTGTGGCAAATACTACCTAATCAAGAAATTAAAGAACACATCACCAGTAATGGTTCAAATCAAACTTATGTGCCACTTGATAGGAGTCACTCAGCATCACTGCTCTTATGTTCCAGCCTGCCAGCAATAAACAAATTACTTGAATCTAATTATGAGGGAATGATGAACCCAAGATGATGAAAGTGCTACAGAATGAGTGGCCTGTTATTGTCAAAATTATCAAGCTCCTTAAAATCACGGGAAAACTGGAAAGGTTGAAGAAGAGCAGCATGAAAACTGCATCAAAAACATAATTCTGAGCTGGATCATGTTGATAGTAAAGACAGTATTGGTATAATTTATGAAACTATAATGGGATATGAGGATTCTTTGATAATATTCCAATATATAATATTCTGATTTTAATGGTTTTGTTGCAATTACATAGAATGTTATTTTTTAAGGAAATACACACAAAGTAAGCAGAGGCATTAGAGCATCTTGTTAAAAAACTAACTTTCAAAATATCAGGGCAAATATTATTCCTACTATACTTACAATTTGAGGTCATCAAACTCTTATAATTTGAGATCATTTCAAAACAAAAACACATAATTAAAAATGTATAAATTTCTAGACTTTAAGTCCCTTGCAATGACAGAAAATGCTTTATTTTCTTTTAATCTCTTCTGAGCATCTAGTTCTGCTTCAAGCAGTACTTTTTAAAAAGCTGTTTATCAAACAAATCTAGAGCAATGTATATGAATCAATGATAACTAAAGTGACTATCATCAGCACTTCAGAGAACTCCATGAGTGATATTGATCATGTTCACTAGAATCTATATACTGAAGCAATAATCAATGCTATATTTTTAAGGGCTGACACAAAAATGGTTGTTGGTAAATCCTAAAACCAAGAATTAAATTAAACATGACCTCCCATTTGATTTTTTTTCCATTATTTAAGATTTTACTGCATATAAATACTTCAAAGAGGAACTTTAATGTCAGATTTTTGATAAGATATAAATTTTTTAAAATGCAGTCTGCATTCTGGGGATGTAATATATAGCATGGTGAGGTTGCAAAATTTGCAGATATTTTTAGCAGAGATAATTATATTCCTTTCCCAACATCTATTCTCACTTTCTTCCTTGGTAACAGAACTGTGCTTTTTGAGCTGGGCACACTGGCACCTAGAATCAAAGACTGCATTGCCCATCCTCCTTTACAGTTAGGGTTAGTGACCACATTTGTGGCTAAGAGTTATTAGTGGCCATTGTCCAGAACTTCATAAAAGCTGTTAAAGAGAAGCCAAATCACCTAAATGGACCTGAAGTAATCTCAAGGATGAGAGTTGTGAAGAGATGCTAATTAGGGAGAAGTTATGAGCTAGGTCTTTGGTACTCTCTTAGAGCTGCTGTACCAACTCTAGACCATCTGGCACTTGACTGTTTTACATGAGAACATAAATTTCTATCTTACTTGGGTTTTAGGATTTTTTAGTTATAGGTAATCTATATAATCAAAGCCTAATATGCAAAATGTCTCCTTGACCAGGAGTTTGACCACTCACTATGACATGCACTAACCACCAGAGAGTGGCACGAGACATAGCTGGTGTTGGCAATGTGGTGCTGGCAGTGGGCAATAGTGAAGGCAATGACAGGAATGAGACCACAGCAAGATGGTGGAGCAGGTGAGCGGGCAGTGCCAGGCCAAGGCAGGCTTGAGTGGGGCCCTTTTGTCCTGCCAATCACACTGCAGATGATGGTGACCAGTGGGGAGAGGGGGGGGCGGTTCCCATCAGGCTCCTAAGTGCTGAGGGAGCCAGGTGGGGGTCCAATGACTCAGGCAGAGGAGGGCGTGTGGGGGGTCCAGTGGCCCAGGTGCTACCCAAGGCCCAGAGGTCAGCTGGGACCTGCCCTTAGATCACCAGCCAGGCCTAGGGACCACCCGATGCATGAATTTTGTGCACTGGGCCTCTAATCTGAATATAACCCTAAGAAATACTCTACTTGTTAAAAGAATTTGTCAAAACTGATCCAAACATCTTTAAGAGCATGGCTCAAATGCCAATTCCTTTGGTTACTAGTTCCATAACCTTGTGAAGGTTATTTAAAATCTTTGAGCCTGAGATTCATCATTTGTAAAATGGGAATAATAATGATATCTACCTCAGAGTGCTTTGGTGATAATTAAATAGATAATAGTTACAAAGCTCTTAGCAGAGGTCCTGAAACAATAAGGATGTAATAAATGCTAATTAATCAATGACAGTTTTCCTTTTAAAAAAAAAACAAAAACATATATATATATATATATATACATATATATATATATATATATATATATATATATATTATTGATTTTTTTACAGAGAGGAAAGGAGAGGGACAGAGAGCTAGAAACATCAATGAAAGAGAAACACTGACCAGCTGCCACTTGCACACCCACTACTGGGGATGTGCCAGCAACCAAGATACATGCCCTTGACCAGAATCAAACCTGGGACCTTTCAGTCCACAGGCTGATGTGCTACCCACTGAGCCAAACCGGTTTTGGCCAACAGACAGTTTTCTTTTTTATGCACATCATTTTCTTTCCCTATTTTGTAAAATACAGGATTGCTAATGGTTTGCCAAGTTCCTCCCATGGATTTTACTTCTTCTTAAAAATTGTCACTGTACTTATAAATTTAATGATTTAAACATTCTATAATTATTTTTCTATCTAAAATATGAATCATTGATGTTCACCTTTTATTTTTGAATTGAATTTATTGGGGTGACATTAATAAAATTACATAGATTTCAGGTGTAGTATTCTATAATACATCATCTGCATATTGTATTGTGTGTTCATCAAACCCAATCACCATTTACCCCTCCTTTACCCTCTCCTACTTCCCCTAGCCCCCTTTCCCTCTGATAATCACCACAATGTACCTCATCTTTAAACCATTTGTCTTGGGAAACAGGTATTGTTTAGCTGGAGCCCTTTATAGTAAGCAAGATCAGATCAGAGATGTGTTTTGTATCTCCTTTCCTTAGTCCAGTACTGGCAGGATGTACGATAATTGTTTGTTTAGTTGATTTTTTAAAACACAAACACCTCTTTTAGAAATTGGTTCCTCAAGATATCAGGCTAAGTTGTTTTTTATTCTTTTAAATAAAATGGGAGATAAATCTCAGGATAAGAAAAAACAATTTAGATAATTTTTCTTTTGTTAATTATTAATTCAAGAAACTGCTTCTCAGTGTTCAAAATGTCATGAATATGGCTTTCTATTCTCTGAAGGTAGGTTCATTTTGCACTCTTGAGTTATCTAGATATTTGAACTGGCACATATCCTTTGGGGGAAAAAAACAGAAACTAAAAGTTTGCCCAAAGTCAAAGTCCATAGGCAAGACTGCAGGATGCTTCAAAGTAAAGTATTTAGATCACTTTTAATCAACTCCCCAAAGGCAGAAATGTTGATGTTCAACCCAAACTCTCTTAGATCATTCATGATGATAAGCATCTTGTCTCTCCACATTCTCTAAATGAATCATTCAATAGGAACTTAAGACAACTTTTGAACAAGAAAATTTCTCCTTGGAATTTTGGAAGAATATCCAGACTATACATATACTAGAGACCTTGTGCATGAATTTGTACACCAGTGGAGTTCCTCGGCCTGGCCTGCAGGAGTGGGCTGTAACTGGCTCTCTGATATCTCTGAAAGGGTCCCAGATTGGAAGAGAGTGCAGGTCAGGCCAAAGAACCCCACCAGTGCACAATTGGGGCAAAGGAGGGATGCAGGAGGTTGGCCAGATGGGGAGGGACCACAGGAGGGCTCCAGGGCATGTCTGGCCCATCTCAGTACCGATCAGCCAGACCCCAGCAGCAAGCTAATGTCCCGACCCGCGGGGCAACAACGGGGGTACGCAGGAACCACCTAAGAGAATGAAACAAACAAGGAACGCAAAAGAATGGAGGCAAGACAAGGTTCTGATCAAGCCTCAACTTTATTCTTTGAAATGGCTGTATATATACAGCAGAAACAAAGGGGGACAGGGTTGCCTATGCAGAGGGGTCTTTGGCAGTGTATAATTGGTTTAGGCACTGAGTGGCAAGGTGGTAAGGTATCTGGCAACACCGGATTGGCTAACTGCCAGGGCGGCATAACATTCCAAGGTGTAACATTCCAAGGCTGGGCTAGCTCTGGGGGAGGATCAGGAAGGGGAAGTTGCAAAGATGTTAAGCAGCAGGTTAATCTTATCTTCTAGCCAAACCCTCAGAGCACCACATAACTTCTGCTAGAAGGAACTTAATTCTATTTCCTTAAGACGGAGTTGCTTGTCTCAACTCTGATGGCTCCCAACAAGCTAATCTACAGGTCAGAACATCAGTCCCCTGGTGGTCAGTGCATATCTTAGCCACTGGTTGACTGGTCAACTGTCTGCCCCTCTGGTATTCAGTGCACATCATAGAGAGCGGCCGAGTGGCTTTAGCATGTCATTAGCATATTATGCTTTGATTAGTTGAAAGGCCAACTGAATACAGCATATTAGGCTTTTATTATATAGGATTATAACTATATTTATATAACTTTGTGTGAGATGTTTCTGATTGGGGTGGCATTCAGGCCCTCAAATTGGAATATGACATGTGTTTATTGTTTCCATTACATTGCAAACCTCTGACTGCTTCCCTTTGTTGTTTCTTGAGAGAGACACAGTCTCTCAATAATTTTTCAGGTCAGGAAAATATGTAATTTATGAAGTCTTCCTAAATTCCGGTATGCAGATGTTCAAACTGATATTAGAGTAACAACTTTACAATAACCTTATATGTCTTCATAAGACTCCCAAATCTCCCATAAGGCCTGAGTTAACTTTTTACAATGGTAGGTACAATGTTTAAGGTTTCTCAAGTACGTTCAATTACTTCATAACACTGGGAAGAGGCTACAAAGAGACAGCAAGATATACACATAAACACACATATACAAAAATGGAGTGAGATTTAAAACTGTCAAATTTTAGCAATTTTCTATTGATAACTTTTCAGATCACTTCCTATTCACTCTGTTGGTGAGGAAGGGATCTTAATCTAACAGATTTTCAAACATAGGACACCCAACACTGAACAGATGAAACTGACAGCAGATTATTAGCCGTATATACTCAGAGCCCAGGAGAGGACATTACTTGCCATGGAAGGACACAACAATTTTTCTTTTGTTACTTACTAATTCAAGAGGGAAGTGACCCCTTGGGAGGGAAGTGACCAAGCAGGGGCTGTGGGAGGCAGGTTTTATAGTAATGAGAGGATGAGGCGCCCCTTGGTTCCAGGAGAATAATTACATAGGCTGGCAGGGAACTGAAGCAGTAGAGTGCAGCTGGCCCAGCCAATAAGGGAACTAGCTGTAGCTGGGGCGAAGGGTGGGGGAGTGAGGGTGGCATGGGGGAGGCGGTTCCTGCAGAGCAAGAGGCATATCTGGTGAGAGAAGAGGAACTCACTGTTAGGCCTTTGGGAACCTTTGGGACCAACCCTATGACCAGTGTCAACAAACAAGTGAAATTTTAAGGATTATAATATGTCAACCTAATTTCAAGTGGCATTCAACTTGGGGGGATGGGAGAGAATGGTGATATGCTCTACTGATGCAGAAAATTATTGTGTTATATTCATATCTTCAATATGGAGACTTCCCAATGTTAATTTTCAATATATATGGGTGTTGTTGTTGCTTTTTATTATATGATATGTGCAGAGATAGATGTTGCTAGTCACTTACCCAGTATTGGTTCTTTCCTTCTCTGCTAAAATTGCCTCAATTTTATTCAGAACAACAATATACTCTGTTAAACAATGTTGATGTCACAGCCTCCATTATATTTCTGGTGGTCATGTGATATAACTTTCATTAAGAGGAAACCACTGGGCCTTTAAAAAAAAAATCAATGATTCCTTAAAAAAATATAACAGACTCAACTGCTATATATCATTTGTTCTTAGCATCTATTTTTTTTTTTGCTTCCTCAGATGAAAATGTGATGTCTAGAAATATAGCATAATGATCATGTGAATGATGCAATTTATACATACAAGTGAAAAATTATAGGAGCTAGTGTAGCATAATGCATTTAAATCTTGACTTACACTCATAGCAGGATAACCATGAAAACATTGCATAAACTTTATAAGTCCAATTTTTGTAATACTTAATTTTCAAGGTTCCTGTATAAATTATACTTGAAAACACTGATTCACAAAATACTTGTTTTAAGCCCTTAGGCCATAAAAGTATGAAAAAAAAAAAATGAATGTAGGACATGTCCCTAAAAAAATTCCTAGTGAGGGAGGCCAGTACTTTAAAAAAAAAAAAAAAAAAAAAAAAAAAAAAAAGGAAAGAAAACAAGCAAACAAGCAATGTTCTGGGCTACACATTATTATGAAGTACATAGGACACATGTTATTAACAGAGACAAAATGAGACAGTCGATAAAACTGTACTTCTTTCCTTCATCATTAAACTGTTCAAAATAGTTATAACTATCTCTGTTCTTCTCACTCACCTCCCAATCCATTGTAATTTCTTTCCCCATCTCTACATCATCACTGTCTGGAAACAGCTCTTATTAAAGTAAACATGTTTTTATAAACACTATCTGTACATTTTTGACACTTTATCTTTTCAACATCATTTAACTCAATTAAATTCTCTGTCTGTCTTGAAAGACCCCCATTGCCTCTGTGACACAACATTCTTCTAGTTTTCATCTTTACTTCTGTGTCTACCTTGCCAACTCTGCTGGAAGCCAATCATTGTCTCACTAATAGAAAGAGGCTGGTCAACCTTGAAGCTCTGAAAGGTCAGAGCCAACCACTCCCTATCTAATTGAGACAATGGTAACTAAGGCAACTTCCCCATGTTATAATCAAGTAAATCTTTACTGATATGGTAATCTGCTTATTACCTGCCTAAGGGCTATGAGTGTTTCTCAAAGCTGCTTAAGGGTAATGAGTGTATCCCATAGCCT